AGTCCCTCCTGTGGGCCCACCACCTGCAGAGGGGTCCGTGGTGGCGCGGTGCTAAGAGGACTGGGCAGCAGTCGAAGGCGGAGACCTCAGCGACCCAGCCCACACACACAACATCTAGCTCTTGGGACGTGGAATGTCACCTCACTGGGGGAGCCCGAGCTCGTGGGGGAGGTCGAGAGATAGACTAGAGATAGTCGGCCTCACCTCCACACACAGCTTGGGCTCTGGAACCCAACTCCTTGAGAGGGGTTGGACGCTCCACTTTTCTGGTGTTTCTCGCGGGGAGAGGCGGCGAGCGGGGGTGGCCATACTAATTGCCCCCCATCTCAGCCGCCACGTGTTGGAGTTTTCCCCGGTGAATGAGAGGGTCGCGTCTCTCCGCCTTCGGGTGGGGGACAAGTCTCTCACTGTTGTGACGGCCTACGGGCCTAACAGCAGTCCTCCCAAGGACTTCTTGGAGTCCTTGGGAGGGGTACTGGACGTTGCACCAACCGGGGACTCCGTTATTCTCCTGGGGGACTTCAACGCCCATGTGGGAAATGCCAGTGACACTTGGAGAGGGGTGATCGGGAAGAACGGCCCCGCTGATCTGAACCCGAGCGGTGTTCTGTTGTTGGACTTCTGTGCCAGTCACGGTTTGTCCATCACGAACACCATGTTCGAGCACAAGGGTGTCCACCAGTGCACGTGGCACCAGGACACCCTAGGCCGGAGGTTGATGATCGACTTTGTTGTCGTATCATCTGACCTTCGACCGCGTGTCTCGGACACTCGGGTAAAGAGAGGGGCGGAGCTGTCAACCGATCATCACCTGGTCGTGAGTTGGATCCGCTGGGAACGTCTCGCTGAGCCCCCTGTCAGACGGATTTTCAACTCGCACCTCCGGGAGAGCTTCTCCCAGGTCCCGGCGGAGGAGGAGGATATTGAGCCTGAGTGGACCATGTTCTCTTCATCTATCGCCGATGCGGCGGCTCGTAGCTGTGGTCGCAAGGTCTCTGGTGCTGGTCCCGGCGGCATCCCCCGAACCCGGTGATGGACACCGGCAGTAAAGGATGCCGTCAGGCTGAAGAAGGAGTCCTATCGAGCCATGATGGTTCGGGGGACTCCTGAGGCAGCTGTCCAGTACCGGCAGGCCAAGCGTGCTGCGGCCCGGGCTGTTGCAGAGGCAAAAACCCGGGTCTGGGAGGAGTTCGGAGAGTCCATGGAGCATGACTATCGGTCGGCCTCAAAGAGATTCTGGCAAACCGTCCGGCGCCTCAGGAGGGGGAAAGTAGTGCTTTGCCAACACCGTGTATGGTGCGGGTGGAGAGCTGCTGACCTCGACTGGGGATATTGTCGGGCGGTGGAAGGAATACTTTGAGGTTCTCCTCAATCCCCCCGTCACGTCCTCCGTCCCGGAGGCAGAGGCTGAGGATGTTGGGGCGGATACTTCCATCTCCCAGGCAGAGGTCACCAAGGTGGTTGGCAGCCTCCATGGTGGCAAGGCGCCGGGAGTGGATGAGATCCGTCCTGACTATCTAAAGTCTCTGGATGTTGTGGGACTGTCTTGGCTGACACGTCTCTGCAACATCGCGTGGCGATCAGGGGCGGTGCCAATGGAGTGGCAGACCGGGGTGGTGGTCCCTCTCTACAAGAAGGGGGACTGGAGGGTGTGTTCCAATTATCGTGGGATCACACTCCTCAGCCTCCCTGGCAAGGTTTACTCCAAGGTACTGGAGAGGAGGCTACGGCCGATGGTCGAATCTCGGATTCAGGAGCAGTGTGGTTTTTGTCCCGGTCGCGGAACACTGGACCAGCTCTATACTCTCCATCGGATACTCGAGGGTTCATGGGAGTTCGCCCAACCTGTCCACATGTGCTTTGTGGATTTGGAGAAGGCGTTCGACCGTGTTCCCCGGGGTGTTCTTTGGGGGGGTTCTCCGGGAGTACGGGGTCCGGGGTCCTCTGCTGAGGGCCGTCCGGTCCCTGTATGACCGGAGCCAGAGCTGTGTTCGCATTGCCGGCAGTAAGTCAGACCTGTTCCCGGTGCATGTTGGCCTCCGCCAGGGCTGCCCTTTGTCACCGGTTCTGTTCACTGTGTTCATGGACAGAATTTCTAGGCGCAGCCAGGGGCCGGAGGGGGTCCGGTTCGGGGACCACAGGATTTCATCTCTGCTGTTTGCGGATGATGTTGTCCTGTTGGCTCCAACGAACCAGCACCTGCAACATGCACTGGGACGGTTTGCAGCCGAGTGTGAAGCGGCTGGGATGAGAATCAGCACCTCCAAATCCGAGGCCATGGTGCTCGACCGGAAAAAGGTGCCTTGCCCTCTGCAGGTGGGTGGAGAGGTCCTTCCTCAAGTGGAGGAGTTCAAGTATCTCGGGGTCTTGTTCACGAGTGAGGGAAGGATGGAGCGTGAGATTGACAGGCAGATTGGTGCAGCGTGCACAGTGAGTGGGCGCTCCCTTAGAGATAGGGTGAGGAGCTCAGTCACACGGGAGGAGCTCGGAGTAGAACCGCTGCTACTCCACGTCGAGAGGAATCAGTTGAGGTGACTCGGGCATCTGTTCCGGATGCCTCCTGGACGCCTCCCTGGGGAGGTGTTCCGGGCACGTCCCACTGGGAGGAGGCCCGGGGGAAGACCTAGGACACGCTGGAGGGACTATGTCTCTCAGCTGGCCTGGGAACGCCTTGGAGTCCCCCCGGACGAGCTGGAGGAGGTGTGTGTGGATAGGGAAGTCTGGGCGTCTCTGCTTAGACTGCTGCCCCCGCGACCCGGCAACGGATGAAGCGGAGGAAAACGGACGGACGGACGGAATATTATATGACCAAAACAGATATCAGACACCAGTATTCCTGGTCTAGGAGTAATACAAAGGAGTGATGGTCATTTTAAGGACCTGATGGCCGCCATTTTGAAAATGAGGCCTTTCTTGGAGTCAAACTTTGATAAACTTTTAGTATGTTTTTAAGTAGATCTGATACTACTGTAAACCACTGAAAAACCTTTTGTTAGAATTTTTTTGGGGTCAAGTCATATTTGCAGCTGACTACACTGTAGTTCACAATTGAGGACATCTGTGTGGCCCTGGGGAATGGGGAAGAAAGAGCAGGAAGTGAAGAGGGCCGTCCTAATTTTACTAAAACACACTGTCGCCAGCATATCTAATGAAAGGTAGAAACTCTTGAAATGTTTAATAAATGCTACATTATCAGTGCACGTTATATAAAGGTGATTGAATCACATGAAGTCAACATAGTCAACACCAGTCATATAAATAATGATACTTTTGATCGACAATATATTGCTTCAGACAATTATTGCAATAAACTATAATGCCACTGATTCTGCTTAAGTAAAATGTTGTCATCATTATACAAAGAAAATTGCAAAAAATAACACACTTTCAAAGAAGATACACAGAGGACATATTGAGCCCCAAATTATATATTTTCCATCAGTTATTGAACAATATATTTAATGAAGTAATATGTCATCCACAGCTGTGCAGTGGAGACAGTGGAGTCAGACAAGTATCTGGGAACCATCATAGACAACCGTCTGAGGTTTGATGAGAACACTTCCCAGATCTGCAAAAAAGGGGCACAACGAATGTACTTTTTACGCAGACTAAAGTTTTTTGATGTGAACAAGTTCCTGATTATGCTTTTTTACAGGTCCTTTATCGAGTCTGTTCTGTCCTTCTGTTTAGTTTCCTTTTACGGAAACCTGTCTGTCCAAAACAGAAGTCGCATGGGAAAAATTGTGTCTGAGGCCAATCGTATAATTGGCCAACAACAAATGTCTCTGACACAAATATATGAAAGACAGGTCCTGAACAAAGTTCAGTCTGTTTTGTCCATCTGTGACCACCCCCTGATGTTGGAGTTCGAACTGCTCCCCTCTGGGAGAAGATATCGGCTTCCCAGTGCTAGAACAAACCGTTTCAAATGTTCATTTGTGGTCTCCGCAGTTAATCTGTTGAACAGACAATTTTAAAGATCTAGACATGCTTCCTCTTGATTATGTTGTGATGTTCCCTGTTATGTGCCATACTCACTGAGATCTTTGTATTATTGTATTGTATTGCTATTTGTATTGCTCCACCACATGCAAACAATTTTCCCCTTGGGGACAATAAAGTTTTTGAGTTGAGTTGAGTTGAGTTGAGTTGGTCCAACAGTAAGTCTAGTAAAGGAGACATGCATGAACATTTCCGACCACAACATGTTGTCTTCATCACAACACAAGTTATCTTTGTAAGAAACAGTTTTGTGAGTAAACAAGTACATTAGGCTGAAAGATGCTTGGCTGAGTCCGGGAGGTCCTCTCAACTTTCTGTCGTGAAAAAAGGATCTAATATCCTGAAAACCAAGTCCATACTGGAAACTTGCAATAGTGCCAAACTGATTTGAGAGGAGGGTTTGTTAGATGGACTTTTAGGAAATTCCATTTTATGTTTTTAGAAAGTTAGATACCCCAGTTATCTATATAACAATCTATTCCATGCATTGTCATTTGTAAACTCTCAAAAAGTTTACAAATGACAGCCCTTGCCATGGTGATTAACAATTCTACAAAATATATCTCAAACCAAAGCTGGAGTACCTTCATGCATTTTACATGCTATTTATCCCAATACAAATAGTATAACACTGGCTGAGGGACCCTCCCTCAGCCAGTCAGCTCTCTTCCAAAACGTCAAATATTGACTTTTTGACTTTTCAGAAAAAAACCTGATCGAAAGATATACCAGAGACCAAAATTGCATACATGTGAAAACAAGAGTTAGAACTGTAACTTTCTTATTAAAGTAAGATTTTTAGGTTCGAAACCGAAGTACCCCGGGTTTAATTAGTCATCAAGCCCAGTGATATTTGCTTTATTACCAGAAGCATTCATGAGACATAACTCGAGTGCTAAACCTGTAGGAAAGATGAGCATTGGTCTAATGAAGTGTGTGTTTGGTGCAGATTTGGTGCAGATTTGGTGCTACCATCATTAGCATAGCAGTGGTACCTGGTCTGTCAGTTTGAGTACAGCCATCTCAGAGTCTCTCTTGAAAGCCCAGGAGCGAGAGAAGGGGCCCCGTGTCTCTCCTCTCCTCAGCGGGCAGAGCAGGAGAAGCAGGCCGTTGGAGACATGGGTACCACGGCCATGATCAGCCCCTCTCCACCGACGCTATCTGCAGGGCTGCTGCTGTGGGGCCGCTCGGAGTCGCAGGGAGGAGAGGAGGCTGCGGATCCGCGCCGTGTAAACAATCCACATTTAAGCTAGCACCTCCTTTTGCGGATTTAACATACGTCCCTGAGTCCCATAAAGTGAAGCTAGCAGCGGCAGAGAGCACTCAGCTGGGCATTAAACACACAGGAAGTGAAGCCAATGCCTTCTCTCTGATGCACAAGTGAGAAGATCCTTCCTCAGCATCAACTACAGTGACTATTCTAATATTATACTGCTGCCATCTGCTGGACACACTGTGCAAGTGCAGCCTAATGTAGACATTTATGACATTGAATTGTTTGTAAAGCACTATTAAACGTCCTATAGTTGGACTCGGCTCCTTCAAATTTAATGTTGAGGTATGCAAGTTTTATATTTCAATTTAGTTTAGAAAGTGATTTGTCATGACGTACCCACACTTTGTAAAACTAATACGTGAACAAATCAGACGACCACATGCCGTCTTTTATCATTATATAACTTTTGCTTGCTTGTAATAAAAAAAGATGACTTTTTGGCACTTAGGGTTGAGAACTGAGGGTGGTCCTTTTTCACTTTTGATTAAATTGACGGGTGCCAACATGCAAGGATTTTATGACCGTTATACACCAATAACGGAACAAGGGTAACATTTTAGGAAAATAATTGAGTAGATGGACAGTATATCATAACTTTTACCCACTTATTTGCTTCAAACTTACTGCAGAGGATCTGGGTCACAAATGAGTCAGGCAACGTTAGGCCATAGACAAAGGTTCAAGGGCATTATAACTTCAATTTAACTCTATGGTTAACAAAGTAAAGAGTGACTTTTGTACAAATGTTTATTTGGTTAAATAAAGCAATCATCCAGTAATGAACAGACACCAGGTGGGTGTGAAAAAGAGCAGAACTTCACACACAAGTAATCCACATTTTTAAAACATTTTTTACAGCTGCTCATTAACAGTTCTTTAGACCACATCTCTAACCAACACAAAAAGCAAAAGTGTATGCAGCTTTATGTTCATTTTCCTTAAACAAAAAAAAATGCTACAAAACATAGGTTCCAAATGCTTGTATGACTTGGATAAGACTAAAAAAGACAACATTTTGCAATGGTACAGAGAGAAGAGGATGTGAACGATACCAAAGTTGAATTTAAAAAACATATTCCAGCTCGTATCGGACATACATGTTTTTCTCATCATTGTAGATTTGTGGATAGTGAGCAATGAGAGCATCTTGTGAACCAATGTAGATTGAGTTGTAGATCTTCCAGTAGACATCCCTCACTTTTCGGGCAGGATGGAACAAACCCTAAAAACAAAGAGCTATTAGCAAAACAAAATAATGCATAAAGAAATTAAATGTAAACTACTCACTTGTAAGCAGTACTGAAGCATACGACAAGGACCAATCGCGACCCTAAGTCCCTCTAGAGCTCCCATTACAGCTTGGATGACGTGAGGAGAGGTTTCAAAGACATTGGGCCAAACATAGTTCAATAAGTGGTTGAGGGAATCTTCACAGCCAAAACCATAGACGCCAAGAGACATGTGCTGGACCACAGCACTGGCAGTCTGTCTATGGACCAAATCTCTGAAAACAACAATAAGTACCATTGTAACAGTCTTTTTTATTATTGACATTGATCACCAATAACAGAAATGACACAGCAAATAGCATTATCAAACAAGTACAGCCAACAGCCATTGCTTTATATAATGGAAGTTGAAGCAGACAAAAGAACTAGCATTTCTCAAAGTACAATTAATGGAAGAAAGGCTAACCTGTCCATGAGTGCGTCCTCAAGCAGAGGTGTGACAGCATAGATGTAGTCTTTGCCCATTTCTCCGATGTATTCAAACAAGAAGGAAAGTGACTTGAGAACACCATTCTGGACATTAAGCTCTGGCACACGGTATTCATTCATGAGGGCGGGCAGGACTGTGAAGGGTGAGCATGTTTCAGCTACGATGGCAATAGCCACAGTGGTACAGACTCGATTCTGTCGCTCCTGCACTTTCAAGTTGTTAAGCAGCGTGGCCAACACATCATGGGGTCTAAGAGAAACAGACAGTAAACAGAACTACGGTGTAAAAAAGTAAAAAAAAAACAAAAAAAACAATGCAAATCACTTAATAACTTATGCATTTACCCAATAGCTTTGGCAATGTAACCAAATGTGTTGACAGTTGCTCGACGAATAGCCTTTTTGTGTGCTTTGAGAAGCTCTAGCAATTCAAAACAGATCCTCATCCACTCTCGAGCAGACACATACTCAGCACCCCTAAAAAAGGTAACAACAATGACTCAATCAAATAAAAAATAAGTCTGAAGAAAACCAGCAGCAGTTACAAACCTGTCTGCAATTCTGCCAACAAGGTCAATGCAGTTCTCCTGCACTTTCTCGTGCCTGTTCTTAAGGATAGGAGTCAAACGAGGAAGCAAGTCTTTGATTGGAGGAGTCATCTTGTGCATACCTGAAGTCATTAAACGTTGTGCACTGTAGAATTAGAGGCAAATGTGCAATGAACAGTTTTAGACAATACATTTTACTTACCAATAACATTAACAATCGCCTTTAAGGCACCCAAGATGCTACCAAGTACTTCAGGATACTCTTCTCCTAGATACTCGTACAATACCACACCCAGGTGACCCATCAGCTTTTCCTATCAACACAGACAATTTTAGTGTTATACAAAATAAATGTCATAAAATGTTATGAAGAGCATTACTAGTGAGACTACCTCCTGACAAGTCTTCATGACCACAGCTGTACGGGAAATGAGATCTGCTGCTTGCTGTCGGACTTTGGCCGATTTGTTATTGAGGCGCCAAAGCACAGTACCACAGATCTGAGGCAGGTACGGCTTCACACGCTTCCCCAGAGCATTGACAACAGTGCCAAAACCATTCAACATCACTGAGTCCTTAAAAAAAAGTTGCATACATTTAGATTTTAGCCATACAAAAAGTTATCGGAACACTGGAGACTACCTCTGTCGTCTGCTCCTGGAAGGCATACAGGATACCGTCAATCAACTGTTCTTCAAGCTTGTGGTCGATGTCTGTGGCCCCGAGGTTACCCATGATCTTTTCAATGGTCTCCATCACCATCTTTCTGTACTGTTCAGCTTCATCCTTCAGGTCATCCACAATGCGAGAAATGATTTCCGCTGCACCGACTTTATTGGCCAGTTCAACAGTTGTGTCCACCAACTGCAATCAAAGAGGAAGTTTAGTGGAAAATAAAAAAAGGTCTATGCTACTTTAGCTCAAATAATGCTATACAAACCTGTCTGTAGTTACGTCTGTCCAGAGCCATTCTGTGTTGCCAGAAGTGCTTGAAGAAAGGAGGCAGGATCTCTGTTTTAATGTAATTTGCCTCCACACCATCAGTGCCGCAGCACTGCTTCACCACCTACGGGACAATACTAAACCATGAGGAGTGCAAACGAGGACAAATATACAATATTGACTCCTCCTGAAAGTGCTTACAATACAAGAGAGTGTTGTAAAGGAATACTGTTTGTACCTTCAGAACAATCTTCTTCATTTCTTCATCGGGAGACTGGAACTCTCTAATGAGGATCAACATCACTTCTCTTGTGTAGTAGTTTGCATACTCTGCATCCATCAGAGGGATCAAGTATCCAATGGCTTTGAGAAAAGCAGCCAAACCCTGTAGATAGAGTTAAAATGTGGCTTGTATTGCATGGGGAAGTATCAGGCTGTGGAACAGTTTGGGCAACGTTCTTAAATCGCATCACACCATTGACCAAATGAAACGCATGTATACATTATATTTAATGGACAAATATAGATGTGTAAATGAATATGTATGGGTATGAATGTAGTATTTGCATGTAGGTTTATGTGTATACAGTGGGGCAAAAAATTAGTCAGCCACCGATTGTGCAAGTCCTCCCACTTAAAATAATGACAGGTCTGTAATTTTCATCATAGGTTCACTTCAACTGTGACAGAAGAGTTTCTTAAAGAAGTTACAGGTCTGTGAGAGCCAGAGATCTTCGTTGTTTTAAGTGACCAAATACTTATTTTCCACCATAATTAACAAATAGATTCTTTAAAAATCCTACAATGTGAATTCCTGGATTTTTTTTTCACATTCTGTCTCTCACAGTTGAAGTGAACCTATGATGAAAATTACAGACCTCTCATTATTTTAAGTGGGAGAACCTGCACAATCGGTGGCTGACTAAATACTTTTTTGCCCCACTATGTGTACATATTTTTATTTATGCATACCTGTATGTATATCTGGAATTTCTCCACTGTGAGATTAATAAAGGTTTATCTTATCTTATGTGCATGCACGCACGCACGCACGTATGTATGTAGATTTACGTATATTTTAAAACTAATTAAGAAAAAAAAGAATAGCAATTATACTGTGAGTAAACTAAACATGTGTATATTGTATATTTTGAGGCGCTCATCAAAAACTTTAAGTTTTACTTTTGTTTTAGGGGCATGAACAATAAGACTGTCTTCAACATGCTACTGTTCTGACATGTGAACTACAGTTTGATCATTTATAGTATTGTTTGGACATTTTGTTAAACAAATGAAAGAATAAAGAGAAAACTTTTGTTCAGTACTCCGATGCATGCACCATGGTGATTATAGCCAATGCTTCCCTGGAACAAGTCCTAACTTATTATATTTACCTCAGGTACTATTCTACAAACCAATAGTTATACAAGTCACGTGCAAATTAAGAAACTGTCTGTTGCGGCCACAAGATTTTTGTAGTCTTTTGTTAGACTTCATCTGACAGCAGCAGTCCCTTAAGGGAATATTATAGCAAGCAAATATTCACAAAGTAGCCACAAGTTGGCTCAGTGCTGGGTGTTGATCTTGCATCTTCAAGTTACTCATTACAACACAGTTAAACGGTACCTTTCCTCTGTGCTGGCGGATACCCTTCCAAAGAGGCTTCAGGACAGAGTCAAATGACTCGATACCATACGGTGTAGCAGCCTCAGCCAAGGCAGCAATAGCCAAAGCACTGATGGTTCTGACTTTCTGCTGCTCATCTACCAGACCTGTATGGACCCAATATAAAAACAAAACAACGTTTACAATAATGGCAAAACAATTGGTTATAATAGTAAATATATACTATTTAAGACACAAGTAATTATGGGTTTTTTATAGATTAAATTTTCCCCCAAAACAACTCACCATGTTCAATAATTTCCACCAAGCTCCGAAGATGGGGCAGAATGGCACAGCCCATTAGGATGGCAATCTGCTGAACAATCTTGATGCCTGTGTGTCTGGCCTGCCAGGATTTCTTACTCTTACACACGGCTTTGAGGAAGGGCAGAAGGGAGGGGATCCCCAGAGCCGAGGCCACAACAGCAAATGCTCTGGCTGTTGTGTTTCTGACGTACTCATCCATGTTGTCAATATCAGGACGCATTGTGGAGATCATTGTAGCCAACCCAGCAGCCTGTAATTACAAGTGGTGAACGGTCTAATCTTTTTCTTTAAGTAAGTATATTTCAAGTTATTTACATTGGACAAAATAATTATTTGTAACCAACTGGTGCAGGGTGAGAACAGATATGACACTAGAGTCAGGTCTGCTAGCTCTCGTGTTGGAATCAATCTAGCAAACTACTAGCCCTGATGAAACCATGAAATGGTCAAACAGGCGAGAATGTTTGCATATGTAATATTATAACATGGCTCTCGTTACCTTAGCCAGATTTGAGATTATCTCCCTTCCTTCAACTCTGGCATAATAATCTTCATCAATCAGTAAAGGCTCAATCACCACCAGGATCTACAGACAAAAATGAAAGGTTAGTAAAAACCAGTTACTTTTAAACATTATTGCCTCTTTTAACACTTACCTTGTGAACATATGGCCGAACCAAATCATCAAGCTTGTATAGAATACGGTCAATGACTTTAACCAAAAGATGGCGCTCTTGGTCCTCAAGGGTTGGTGACATGAGCAGTGGTAAAATCTGATTGAACAGAGGGCCAGCTCCAAATTCCCGTGCTTTGTCAGTAATCTGACGCAGAGCAGCCTATGGCAAAGAAAAATATGTACATTTACTTAGTTTATAGGGTGGAACTTGTAGAAAGAAGTTGATTCTAATAAACTAACTTTTCGCATTGGGGGTGTTCCATTTTTAATTTTTAGTAGCAATTTCATGATCTTTCTCTCCTTCTGCTCTTCTGGACTTAGTGTTGACTCATCCACTTCCACCTATGAACAGAAATGCTGAACTTTAGATAGTGCAATTAAAAATCCATTTGTTTGTACATGTTTACGCGGTATATTCACATCATTTCAAAAAGGAGTTTGACGCTCACCAGCAGTTTGTCAAAGTACTGGATGTCATCAGGTTTGAGAAAGGGCAGATTTCCCGACGGCTGGTCATTCATTTGTTTGGTGGTGCGGTCTTCAACCTGCATGTGAAATCCAGTCATTCCCCCAATGGGAGTGGGAGTAGCAGCGAGTTTTCGAGCGGGGGTTCGAATTGGAACATAACCTGCTGGTGGAGGCAAAACCTAAACAAGAAAATATAACAATAAGATATTCAATGTTAACAAAAAAAAAAACCAGACTAGTGTCAACACACCTTATAACCTTCTGGAAACATAGCATCTAACTCATCGTCTGTGAGAGGACGATTTCTCTCGTCAATTTCCCGCTCCCACCTCCAGGCTTGCAGCTGCTCAGGTGTCATGCTCATCAAGTGTCCTTCATAGAAATTAAACTGTTTAGAGGGAACTTTCCAAAAATGTATATCCATTGTGCCAACGATGCATTTACCTGGTGTTGGTGTAGCCATGTTCATGGCAGGTGTTCCAATCGGGGTCTTTCCAGGTGTGAGTAACGGTGTGGAGGATCCCATTTGACTTGCAGGTGTCTCGTCCCAGCGAGACTTCCTCTTACTGGCGCCTGGAGTTGGGGTCTCGCCAACAGAATCTTCTCCTCTATCTGTGCGTGGAGTTTCAGCCCACCCGCTGCCGTGTCCGGGCGTCTCCCTTTCCGTTTTGGGAGTTTCATCCCAGCGGTTCTTGCGGACACTTCCAGTTGCTCCACCATGCCCTGGCGTAGCATGACCTGGCGTGTCTCTTCCAGGAGTGGCAGCACCGGCCGGAGTGTGGCTGGGAGTTGGGTCCCACATGCGCGAACTTGGGGTGGCCCCGGGAGTCTCACTGCCCTTAGGCCGACCTGGAGTCTCATCCCATCTGCTGTTTGAGGGTGTGTGAGCGGGTGTGTGGCCTGGGGTGTGGCCGGGTGTCTGGAAACATCCAAACATTACATTTAAGATTTTTCACTCTTATAAAATCAATATTTTCTTGGGCTAAAGTATTACCTCAACAGAGGCATCAGCCTGGTCCCAGCTGGATAGTTTTTTAGGCGTTGCATTGGATGGGGTCTGATCGGCTGTTTGATCCCATCGGCGCTTACGTTTTGCAGCGGCGGCGGCGGCAGCAGCAGCAGCTTGGGAGGCAGCGGACCCGTTCACGGCTTTCAGTTCTCCTGATTTAGCCTTCTCTGCCAACTGCTGACGGATTTCTTTCTGCAGCGTTCATAACATGAAAATGTCAGCACAATTCCCAATGAAATATTTTAAAGCACCTTACGCGTTAAACTTACCTCTTCTTTGGACAGATTGTGCTCCCTCATGACGTCCACGTAAGACCTGACCTGCATCTTGGGATCCGGCGTTTTGCCCCCTGTGCGAAAGAGCACCAACAAAAACAAAAACATACAGATTAGTATAAATGTAATATACTATATACACAACACTGCAAGCACAACACAGCCTGCCAATTTTGACTCTTTAAGAGAATAATATAACATGTCTTTTAAGTATTTCCATAAATGCATTAAATACAGATTTACATACAAAAGTTCTAACAAACAAGCAAATACATAAAACAGTTGATGTTGTAGTGCTTTCTTTAAGTGAGCTGATGCAGGGGTCCTGGGCTGTGCTCTTCAGAATACGTACACTTTCATTGCCAAGGGTCCTTCTGCAGTCAGACTTCAACCGGCAGAAAAGCCTAGAAAATTTCTCTTTACCATTAGTAACACTTGGGAAAGGTTTCAACTCACACACAACAGTATACCACCTGCGTTGCAATGACTCATGGAATTGTTTCAAATGTAATTATGGGGCAGGATCAAAACTAGGAAGACCAATATGGTCTTAGCTCAGATCTATCTTTACATGAGCATTCCAAGTATGAACTTAGTCTTAAAGATAGATCAACGGACAAAATACTGCTATGAACTCATTACTTAGCTTAAATCAAAGGTCCTATTCTGTACTTTGAATTAAAAAAATGTAGGGGGAATTCAACTCAAAAAATAACAAAAATGGATAAGGCCCTTGGGGATGGCAGTTGAAGTTGACACACTGATGCCCCTCGCTGGCCCCAGTCAAACATGTTGCCCTTGGACCCTGATCAAACTCAAAATGTACAGTTCTTTGAGCTTCCCAAAACCTACACATGACGAGTTGCTGCACCCTTAACAGAGGGCAGTACAGGACTGGCAAAGCAGTACTGCTGTAGGAGAGAAATTAAGGACAGTTAGTATGGGCCTCTGGTATTGTGGTACAAAATCTTATTGACAACATATTCATATTTTACTCTTTAAATTTGTAAAATAAAAATATATTGAGATAACAACGTTGTACAATGACAGCTCTCTACATGCAATCTTACACTATATCTACCCTGAGTCGCAATGATTTAAGAATGGCGACCAAAGATTTAAATGGTTGCAATGTATCTTAGTATTACAATTGTCCTTCATAGATTTCAACAAAATAGGTTAAAAAGGCACAATATTTTAAGATTAAGACATACTATTGTAACTTTAATAATTATCATGGGCTGTTAACCCTTCAAGCCACAAGCAAGCCATTTGCAACCTGCCCTTTGTATCCCACTCCTCCCAAAACGTTCAAATAGCCCCAACCAACAATAAGCAACTTGAATAAAGATCAGTGATCTGAAACGATGTCAACTGTCAAAAGACAAAAAAAAAGTCAGGAAGCAATGTGTCAAGTTGCAGTTGGAAGGGTTAAATGGCATTCTTCTGGAAGTGACATCAACGTCAGGATGGTTTGTAACATAATAGATGGAGGTGTGAAAAGGGGAACAATGGGACCATGAAAAGCCAGTAGGAAAGTTGGATTTACCGTCAGCAAAGGGGTCGAGACGCTCAGGGGAGATGATCATCTGCCTGCGCTTGGCTTTGTATTCATCTTCACGATCAGCTATTTTCTGTGGTCGATGCTCGGCAAAGGGGTCATACTGGAGGGGGAAATAAACAGAAAATGCATTTTATTTCTCCAATGATTGCAGTCATACGCATGATTATACAAAAACAAAATATTCGTTGCTACATTATGAACACCACAATAACAAATACTAAGTTTAAGTGCAACTTAGTTTGGACATTTCTTGACAATAACAAACAATTACTGCAGTCAATTTGATGTTTATTTTAAGGATTCTGGTCTGAAAAATATAGAACCCCCTCGTAGACTACGATAGATGGGTAATCAGACAAGCCTTTGCACCCTCTCTCAGAACACACATCAAACGCAACGACTAAAAACAGCATAAAACCAAGAGCATAATAATTTCCACATAATCGTTTGATGATTACTGATCATACCTGTTCATCTGACTGCGGGATGGCATTTAGAATGGCCACTGGTGCATGATACCCCGGCTTCTTCGGGCCCAACAAACTAGTTGCAGTATCTTCTTCATCATCCTGTGCACACAGAATAGAAAATGTAAATATTGTGTATAAACAGAAACACATGACATCATGAAGAACATGTTAACTTACTTCTTCTTGTTCATTGGCAGCGATGGATGTGACATATCCAGCAAAGCGACTGTCGCTGCCTCCGTAGATTTCCTGATCAAAGATTCCAGTAGAATCAAGTCCGACTCCTTGATCGCCTCCTTCCTCTACCAGGGCTGCCTTGCGACTCTGGATCTCCAGAATCTGAGCCTCTATGTCTGCAAAAAATGCATATTCATTATAACGCATACAAAGCAGAAGAAAACCTCAGGTCACTAATGACGCACTAACACAAAGAACACAGTGAAACAAATCCGCACAGCTATTATGCTCCCTTCAGACATGACTGATGTAGGGCCTCAGCCCAAAACGTCACAACTAAGTGGTCTGTAAATACAATACACTTGATGCATCCAGCACGCTAGTCCAGACTACAGGGATGTGCGGCCTTATTTGAAACCTTCTTGGACTAACAAAGGCCATAGCGTGCACGTTGGAAAGATACACGGATATGGTATAACACAGCAGAAGCTTTGTAATGTTTAATTTGACATAAGATGAAATAAGATAAGGATGTAACATTTTAAACATACAACTTAATTTCCATGTCTATGAAAGACGATCTTAGCTCAGAGGCTAACGCGTTAGCATCCTGCGCCATTACCTCACCGCGCTGCAGAGCCGACGGGCCTTGCATACAATAACTCAACAAAACACGTATTCAAGAGAAGAAATCCTTCATCAGCCATAGTAACTGATTGTTAGTACACGATTACATGCAGTAAAAGCACAACATAACTCAACGTTATTTAACATTAATTTTATTTACCTTCGTGGGTTTTGGCGATCTGCGCCATTTTGGTGATCTGTGTTTCTCACACACCGGAAATGTGCTCTGCTACTGTTAGGACCGCCCCTTCCGCTTGACTTCATAGACCTTCTTCTTCTTCTAATTTTTTCCGGCAGGCTGTGCGCAGGTACGGCGCAATGCTGCCCTCCTCCATCATCTTCCCACACACATTAATTAGGGACTAAATTCTCGAGACTAGGTAGAGAGCAGATATTTTAATATGACTCTATCTACAGAACGTGAAACCCGCGATTCCGTGAATATACTCGCTATTGAACAAACTTTAAAACCCAAGTCACACAGCATCCTCTCTCTCTCCACTGCGTACTTCTGACAGTCGAATAGCAGCACATCACAGCAGATAAAGGAAATAAGAGCACTCAGATTGCACACATCAAAGTCTATTATTTAAGATAATAGACAATAAATTTAAGATAAAATAAAACAAAATAAAATAAGATAAACTCTGGGCTATAATTGCACTTGGTTCGGAGTATTTACAGATGTCTGTATTATACATTAGCAGCGGAGAATATGAGAATATGAGCAGAATAAACATCAGAAATAATATCAACAGGTAAAGTGACTTGAATGGGAGAATTATCAGATGGATATGAATAATATAGTAAGATATCAACAGGTAAAGTGACTTGAATGGGAGAATTATCAGATGGATATGAATAATACAGTAAGATATCAACAGGTAAAGTGACGGTGAAAGGCAGAATTTATCAGATATGAAATAATACAGTAGTACTGATAACAGTAAATATCAGATATGTAGTACTGTAGTAGTACTGATAACAGGTAAAGTGACTAGTGACAAGTTACTAGTGAATTATCAGTGACACTTGTGCAGACTCAGCAGTTCCTGTTACACATTCTCGTTGTACAGTCTGACAGCAGCAGGAAGGAAAGACCTGCGAAACCTCTCCTTCACACAGCGAGGGTGAATTAGTCTGTCACTGAAGCTGCTCTCCAGAGCAGAGAGAGTGTCCTGCAGGGGGCGACAGTCATGGTCCAGCATAGATGTTAGTTTGCTCAGGACCCTCCTGTCCCCCACCTGCTGCACTGTGTCCAGGGAACAGCCCAGGACTGAGCTGGACTTCCTGATGACCTTGTCCAGCTTCTTCCTTTCCCTCTCTGTGATGCTGCTGTTCCAGCAGACCACACCGTACTAGAGGCTCCACCACAGAGTCATAGAAGGTCTTCAGGAGTGGCCCCTGCACTCCAAAAGACCTGAGCTTCCTCAGCAGGTAGAGTCGGCTCTGGCCCTTCTTGAAGAGGGCGTCTGTGTTATGAGTCCAGTCCAGTTTGTGGTTCAGATGAACACCCAGGTACTTGTAAGAGTCCACTCTCTCAATTCCCTTTCCCTGGATGTTCACTGGAGCTGGAGCGGCAGAGTGACGTCTGCAGAAATCCACCACCATCTCCTTAGTCTCTCCTCAGTCCACAAAGTCCTGTATAACTCCTCTGTACTCTGTGTCATCGTCCTCGGAGCTGAGTCCGATGATGGCAGAGTCGTCAGAGAACTTCTGTAGAACACAACCGCCCGTGTTGTGTCTGAAGTCCACAGTGTAGAGGGTGAAGAGGAACGGTGCGAGGACTGAACCCTGGGGGCCCCCACACTGCAGGTCAGGACCTCAGACACGTAGTCCCTGGTTCTCACAAACTGGGGTCTGTCTGTGAGGTAGTCCAGGATCCACTCAGACAGGTCGTAGTCTATTGACTTTTTCAGAAGAGACTGCTTAGCAGATTTGTCAGCTATCTCATTTCCTAAAATCCCACAGTGTCCTGGGACCCAAACTAAATGTACTCTTAACCCGCCCAATTGTAATCGATGAAGACATGACAGTACTTCAAATACCAGATCAGGGCGAGCTCCTTTTAATAGATCCATATTGAGAGCCTGCAATGCCGCAGCCGAATCTGAGTAGATAAATGTATCCCTGGGTTTATTATCTTCTACCCATTTCAAAGCCCACCAAATAGCAAGAAGCTCGGCAGAGAACACAGATAGACCATCGCTAATTCAACTACTGAAATTAAAATCACAATTTATTACATGGACACGAAATCCTGCCCGTCTAGACCCTGGATCCTTTGAACCATCTGTAAACACATGCACAGTCTCCTTGTTTTCACTGATGAACTTCTCCACTTGTCTTTTGACCTGTGCCTTCTCCATCCCCAAAAAATCCAACTGCACTTCAGGTTCTGACATCCTCCAGAAGGGAATGGTAGGGCCACACCAACCCTACCACATTATTCTCTAATCCTTCCCTTTTAGCAATCTCTTTTACCCTACACAAAAAGTTACTCTTTTCATTTCTTTTATCAAACTCCCAATATTCACTCAATAGGCATTTTGCAGCCGAATTGTGTTTTAATCCAGCTAATCCAAGTTTTTGCCTCCTAATTCTAAGAGGAGTTTCTCCCACCTCGACCAGCAGTGCTGGAATAGGTGTTGTCCTAAAAGCACCGCTGCAGATTCTTAAGGCTTTTGAATGTACTCTTTCAAGTTTTTGTAAAACCGTTTTAGAGGCAGCAACATATACAAAACAACCATAATCAATCGAGGACCGACTCATTGCTCTATAAATCATGAGTATTGTTTCTCTATTTGCTCCCCAGTCACTGCCAGCCAAGCACCGAAATAATTTATTTATCCTTTCACATTTAACAAAAAAAATTTCTACATGCCTATTCCAAGTTACTTTCTCATCCATCCACATTCCTAGAAATTTGAAGACATTCACCTTCTCTAATGGATTACCATACAAACTTAAAGACCCCTTTGCTCCCCTCTTCTTCAATCCAAGAGTCACATAATTACTCTTTGCCACAGATATTTTAAAACCCCATTTACACAGGGTCAATCAAATAGTTCAGCGGGCAAACCACTGAACTATTTGATTTAAAACTTTCTGTGTCTGTTCCATAAGAAAATCCAGGTTCCTTCCTCTCCTCCAAACAGCCCCATCATCCGCAAACGGAGATCTTCCAAATCCTGCATCAATGTTCTGAAAAATATCATTTATCATAATATTAAATAAAATTGGGCTAATAACTGACCCTTGTGGAGTTCCATTCAATATACTTGCTACCTCAGAAAGTTCACCTTTTACTCTCACCTGTATAGACCTGTTACTAAGAAAATCTTTTATCCACTGAAACATCCGACCACATATCCCTGCATTATACAGTTTTATCAAAAGGCCCTCTCTCCACATACTGTCATAAGCCTTTTGGATGTCCAGGAACACTGCTACCACTACCTCTTTGTTTATTATTGCTCGTTTAATATCCTGATCAAGTACTGCTACTGAATCCTTTGTATTCCTTTCTACTCTAAATCCATTCTGGAAGTTAACAAAGAACTCACTGACTTCTAAAAAAATACACAAGCCTTTTTGTCACCATCCTCTCCATTACTTTGCAGAGTACTGCAGTCAATGCTATAGGCCTGTATGACGAAGGAGACAAAGGATCCTTACCAGGCTTCACTATTGGGATCACAATGGCATGTTTCCAAGACTTTGGCAATGTGCCAGCCTCCCAAATGTAATTAAATAGCACAAGTATCCTCCATTACCTGATCATCAACATGATGCAACAGTTTGTACCAGCCTGGATAGCATCTTGTAACTCCTTAAAAGAAAAAAACGTATTTATCGGAACATCCCCGATCTAGTCTACCCCGAGCTTCCACCCCTCCTCCAATAGCAGCTCCTCCCTCATTTTAAGACTCTCCTCACAAAGAGAATACAAATTGTGAACGTTCTGAAAAGTTTTAACACAAACATCGGCCTTGTCTTTACTTGTTATTGCCTCAATGCCACCATCCTTTAACACTGGGACATCTGAATGCACCCTCTTGCCTGACATTTTATGAACTCTAGCCCAAATCTGCTTAACTGGAGTTGTAGGACCTATGGTGCCACAGAATGCCCTCCAGCTACTCCTTTTTGCCTTCTTAATAACTTTCCTTGCCACTGCTCGACACCTTTTGTACTCCACTGCATTATCCTGATTCGGGTTCTTTCTGAGATTCTTAAAAGCTTTCTTCCTCCGCTTAACTACTTCACTGCACTCTCCATTCCACCATGGTACAATAACTCGTTCTCGAGGATTTTTCCTGCACGGGATTGACTCCGTTGCTACCTTGACAATCATAGTTGTGATGGATTCACACATTTCATCTACCCTCACTATTTACACTGTCTAAACCTTCTAAAGTGCCCTCCCTAAACTTTCCCCAGTCCGCTCTAGAAAAGTCAAACCGACCCACTCTTTCTTCATTCTCAATAATCAAAGTTTTCTGAAACCTAGGTAATACAGGGAAGTGGTCACTCCCTATTGTATCGCTACACACTTCCCATTCTTCTCTCCTGGCTAGGGATGGAGATGCTAAAGTTAAGTCCAAAACAGAGGTTGAACACCCATTGCTATCTACCCGTGTAGGTCTCCCATCATTTAAAATAATTCAATTTCCCCTGTCTAAAAATTCTTCCACCACAGTCCCGTTTGAATCTATATTCCAACTACCCCAAAGAGGATTATGAGAATTAAAATCACCCACCCAAACTGATATTGCTCCTGTGATACTAGACACCCCTTCAAGTTCCTTTAACACCAGAGGTTTGCAGGGATTATAGCAATTAACAATGTGCACTTTCCCCTCAGAAGTCCATACTTCTACCATTATACACTCAAAAGACACTTCACATTCACACAGTTTATACTGAATCCCTGTTTTGATAAAGGTTGCACACCCCCCCTACCCGATCTTCCCTATCCTTACGAAACCACACATATCCTGGAATGGAAAAATCCAAACAAGGTTTTAACCATGTCTCCTGGATACACAATCTCTTACTACCTTTTTAAATTCTTGTCCATTGGCTATTAAGCTCCTTGCATTCCACTGCAGGATACAGACCATAATAAATTCTAATAATCGTCAAGGCTTGCCTCAGAATCCCACCCATGCATGTCCACTCCCTC